ACCAGTTAGCGAGTCCATTTGCCAAGTTATTAAGCTATATTTGGTTTTATTTTAGGTCAGCAGTAAAGTGCACTTACTCTCTCTATGTGTTAGGGTTGAGAGGCAGAAGTAGCTATCTTCTCCTGCTGAGGATAGCAAGACTGCCAGCTACATAACAAAGCACTGTGCACATGCTTGTAGACATTAGTTTTTTTGTTTTTTTTATTGTTATCATCTGCCTGGGATTAAGAGAAATAACTCCAAAATATGACAGAAATATGATAAACATACTTAGGCATGTCCATGTCTCATACCAAAACTTCAGGCCAAGAGAAACGTTCTTCATAAAAAGTGAGTTTAAAAGCGGGCAAGAAGGCAAGGTAAATTGGTTGTAGAGTTCAAATGGAAATCCACATGAAATACAAGAGATGGTGGTTATGACCACTAACATAAAACTAGAATTCACATAACAAAACATCTGTATGGCTGCATTGTTCAAGGGATGGAAAATTCAGTGTGATGGAGACCAAAATAAAAAAACTCCATGTAGGAGATTCAGCAAAGGAACAGCAATGATGAGAGGTACATCAGGTAAGAGATAATGGAGACATAAACCCTTTGAGTGACACCTCAGAGGGTGACTTGTGCTGCTTTGGGAATAAGATTAGAGGAAGAGTGGTGAAGGAGATGGCTTACAGAGGCATTAGCGCATAGATCTCTCATTAAACTGCATACATTGTCAGTAAGGGGGAGAGGGGTGTCTTATGAGGCAGCCTCAGTCTGTAAAAGATGCTTGAGTCACACCTAATATTGTGAGTACATTTTACATATTGGAGAAAAAAAAGCTTGTGAGTTCATTTTCTTTTTCTTACGACATCCACCTGAGACAGAAAGACCGAATTTAGAGTACATTTTATGTCTAACAGCCTACACTTTTCTCTCTCCAGTCAAAAATCCTTTTTTCGTAATTGCTTTGAATGTACCACACAAACATTCTTCTATCGCTGAAATCTTCTGTTTTTTTATCTACCCACCTTTTCTTTCTTTACCTATTGCTATCCTATTGTTGAGGAAACAAAATGTCCGCATACAGAGATGCATCTTGTGATTACCCTCTTACTCTTTCTGCAGTGTGTGTGCCGTGTACATATCACAATGGTGGGATCCAAGATGAAGAAAAATGATTGATGTTGCTGTTGCTATAATCAATAGCCAGCACAAATTATCTGCACAGTTCCGTGGTTCCCTCCATCTGTAAGGAATGATGAAAGATTCATCTGAGAACAAATACAAAAGTCTTTCTCTTTCCATCATAGCCTTAGACTCAGACGAGCACGCATACAATATCCATATGGGATCAGCAGATGCTTGCTGATGAGTGAAATGGCTGTGTTCAATAGCATATGGTATGCGATGCCTCTTAGCCAAACTGTGTCAGGCCCTGATTTCTTACAAATCCTCCAAAGATTATTGAAATTTCTACAAACTTGAGGTCATACTTGGTAGCCCCAACTGTGCCAAAACTATTCCCAAAGTCATATATTCCAAGCTGAAATTCAGCGTCAGTGTAACATATCTACATATGGCCCATTAATTTTAATGAGATGGTGGATTCAGTGTGGTGCCTGCAAAATCATTATGCATTTTGTAAGCTAATTAAGGGACAGACCACTTCTATCTAGACATATTAATCTTATCTCAGTCTGATGACAGTAATAAAGTCCATACTGGATGATACTGCCTTGAGAAACACACATAAGCAGCGCATCCCCTCATACTACCTCCTCAAGGGGAAATCAATGTATCTTAATGTCAGATCATTAGTTGCTCTGTAAAGGGGAACCATTTTAATGGAAACAACTCAGTCTCACCTCAGAACAAGGAGTGGTGTCAAAGAAGCTACCGGCTACTTTTTCTAAAGTTTTTATATAGATACTGTATCCTCAATGTCCTTTTTTCTTGAGGTCCTGTCTTTGGCATAATGTATTCCATAGTATCTTACCCCGACTCTTACCATCACAATCAAATGCCAAACCAAACAAACCCAAAATATTTTAAAAGTTCCCTGCTACACAAAAACAACTATTCCCAAGTACCCAGAGTTGAGGGCCAAATGGCTTCAGTTTATTTTGGGAAAAATGACACAACACTGCAATTCGAAATTAACTCTGTTCAATACAATTTGAAGAGAGTGACTTCATCAACTTTGGTGAGTTCAGCAGAGGCTTCGCAACAAGGTTGCACCTTTGCGGTTAAACACTACGACCCGTGCATAACCCCTTAACTAAAACACTAAAGAAAACTCAAGGAAGTGCTGTTATACAGGTTTAATGTCTGTTTGGACAGTGGTAACACTTGCTAGCTTAGCAATGTTCACGCCATAAAGCTGAAATCAGTCCATAACAGCTTTCAGTAAGCTGTCTGGTCGTGGACAAAACCAATGCAAAATACAACACAAAGCGTATTTTTGCTAATTATGTTTTGAAATGAAAAAGTTCAGAGCAATGGGTAACTCCCAAGGGAGCTAAAAGCACTGACACAGGCTTCATGATTCACTATGATAAGCTGTTCCAAATTATGATTACCGCAAAATAAAAACAAAGCTGGTGTTTTTTCCATTTTAACAAACACGTTTAAGATTATTAAAATTATGTGTGTAGTCTAGACAGGCTAGGCTCTCATTTGGTAGCTGTTAGCCAATCAGAGTCAAGCAGATTAGCATGTTGAATAATAATGAGAACTGGTGCAAATCCAGCTGAGTCTTCTAGCAGGCTTTCTATACCATGCTAGAATAGGTAACAAAGGCATTTTCCCCACAATAAATGTCAGTCTATTGTAGAATTTCAGACATAATCACAAAATAACGAAATACATGTGGTAGGGCACCTTTAAATTTTGATGGTTAAAAGCAAAAAGTAGTGTTGAACCTTTTTTTGGGGAAAACTGACCTCCCTATTTTGATTTAATTTTTTTAATTGAGTCTGTTTGATTTCGATCCATTTAAAGCTTTTGGAAATCTAAGATTGTTGTGTACACCCAGCTGATGAACGTCAGAAAGAAAAACTCACATACCCATTGCACGCTTTTTACAAACCAAACTGGCTATCAGGTAGTTGTTTACAGATTCTGCGAGGAGTTGTGTAATTCCACAGGGCTTATGTTGATTTTTATTTTTGTTGTTTTTTTTCGGATCTTTGGAATACAGGAGCGATGAGTCAGACTAAATCTCTTCGTCTTTGATTTGGTTAAACATGCAATGACTGGAGTGAAATTCAAACACCTCCAGGATTGTGGACAAAACCACAAGTCTATTTTTCCATTTCAGAAGAAAATCTCACAAAATCTCACTTTGCCAAATATGTGCTTTGGTAACCTGTGCAATGATTGCCTCTGTAAAGGCTGCATACAAATATGTAAACAGATATGACTAAAGAAACTGTAAGCTTCATCGATTGTCAATGTGTATTCATTGTTTACATATGCTGCAAATTAAGTAATTTGAAATAGATATTAACAAGTGTTTTAATGTAAGGAGTCCAAAGAATGTGAAGGTTGCTTCAAAACACACAGTCAATGATAAGACATTATAATCTGGAAATATTATATAAATTATTTTAGACCGAAAAAAGAAATGTTCTAGAAGCAATAAAGCAACTCCCATCTATATATTGGATAGTTTGTAATTATAACAAATACCCATTTCCGATTTAATCCGTTATTTAAAAAAAACATGACCTGGTAATGGAGATATTTTGTTTCTTATCAAAGGGATTGTGTATCTTTGTTATCTAGCTTCAACTCTTCTGCATTCTAATATTTTAGGCACTTTATTTCAGATAACCATATTGATGCCATATTTAGCTTCCATCTCTCATCAGTATCAGGCTTACAAAAAGATGAAGTGCTTCTTTCATTTTCTGAACTTCAAAGAAAAAAATGTGATTAATAATGAATTTCTTTCATCAAAAGTTTCTAAGTGCACTGGTGCTAATCTCTAATACAGGCACACACCAACTCATGTCAGGGTGAGTCAACAAAACCTGTTCAAATGATATGCAATCTCCAGCTGTCACAAGAACATCTGTTGGTGCAATTGTCTTTTTCAAAATAAACAGTCATAAAGAGATATGGACAGGGTTGTACTATTTTTATTTCCCCACTGACAGCTGTAAAGGTGGGAGTTTTGAGGATTTGGATGGAGAAACAATATTTTGATTGTTCTAGTTGGAAGTCTCTCCATTACTTAAGAAGTCTGTGCCTACTGACTACCATCTCAATGCAAAAAGGTCTGCAATGACTTGTGCTCATTGTGAGACTTTAGTTATATCAGCATATCTTCTAACAGATGATAATATGTGGTCGCACTGTCAACAAATCTGAAACCCAAATCACAAAATGAACACTGAGGAAAATAATATGAATAGACTTTATCTCCAAATGTAGGACAGTCAGTGCAAATTGAAACAGATTTGTGAAGGCCATTCTCTGACATATCTAATGGATGTCAATGCTGAAAGCATTTTTATTTTGTAACAAAAATACTTCAGGGCTTAAGCTCTGGCTTCAACACATCTTTTTACAATAGAAAATAATATTGTGTTCAGTTCTTTAGGATGTTTCAGCAGTTATTTAGTATTTACTTTGCTTCCAAATCTTAACTCCACTGTTCCTTTGAATTAAAATGAAAGTGTCACAATATATAAAAAAATTTTTTTCAAGGACACCATTTCTGAAATAAGCGAAACTGTCAAGATTTCTGTGTTCATTTTTCAGGGTAATGAGTCATGCCTGCATGTGCATAGCTATAAGTTCCATTCTTGCCCTTCCATTCACATCCATCTATATTGTTGTTATTAAACAAATACAATTAAAAATATTTGGGTTGGGAAATATATTTGTTCAAACAAAGAATCTAAAAAAAATGACCTCCTTAGATTAACATTTTTCTCTTCTTTTGTTTCTTCTTTTCCCACACCTAAGGCTCTGCTTTGCGACATCGCTGGCTAGTGGTCCAACTCTTGATGCAGGTGTGGCTGGCAGCAAGTCCATCACTGAGTGAGCGCCAATGCCCCAAGAGTTGTCGTTGTGATGGAAAAATTGTCTACTGTGAGTCAAGCGCCTTTCGTGATGTCCCCAAGAACCTCTCAGGAGGCTGCGAGGGTCTGTCTTTACGGTACAACAGTCTCTCCGGCCTTCGTGCAGGCCAGTTTGTAGGCCTCAATCATCTTATCTGGCTCTACCTGGACCATAATTACATTGCTTCTGTGGATGGATTGGCCTTCCAGGGCATTCGCAGGCTTAAAGAGCTCATCTTAAGTTCAAACAAGATCACATCACTCCATAACACGACATTCCATCCCGTTCCTAACTTGCGGAATCTGGACTTGTCGTACAACAAACTGCAAGCCCTTCAACCTGGGCAGTTCCAGGGCCTACGGAAACTTCTCAGTCTTCACATCCGTTCAAATTCCCTGAAAATGATCCCAATGCGTCTGTTCCAAGATTGTAGAAATCTTGAGTTTCTCGATTTGGGTTACAACCGTCTGCGCAGTATCAGTCGGAATGCATTTTCAGGCCTTGTCAAACTCACTGAGCTGCACCTGGAGCATAATCAGTTCTCAAAGATCAATTTCTCTCACTTCCCTCGCCTCTACAATTTGCGGGCTCTGTATCTGCAATGGAATCGCATTCGTTCAATGAGCCAGGGCCTTACCTGGACCTGGGCCTCTGTTCAGAAACTGGATCTGTCGGGGAATGAGCTGACCGAGGTGGATGCAGTGGTTTACCAATGCTTGCCCAACCTTCAGACCCTCAACCTGGACTCCAACAAGTTGACCAATGTTTCTCAGGAGGTGGTTGATGCTTGGATCTCTTTGACTATGATAAGTCTGGCCGGAAATGTATGGGACTGCAGCCCCGCTATTTGTCCTCTGGTTACTTGGCTAAGAAACTTTAGAGGGGCAAAAGAGACCACCATGATTTGCGCCTCCCCTAAGAAAGCTCAGGGCGAGAAGGTGATGGATGCTGTTGATGCCTTTGGTGTTTGTCAATCAAGCCAAGCAACAACGCTCACAGTGAGTATTCCTCCGAACCCATCCAGCATACCCGTGCAGACAGAGCACCGGCCAGCCATACCAGCTTTACCAACGAGCTCCGGAAAGAGAGCTGAGGAATCCCTCAGGGGTCCCACATCATCAGCAGTCACCCCACCTGTGGTTCCTCCTCCAGAGCAAGATTTGGAACCTGTCTCTTTCCATAAGATCGTGGCTGGAAGTGTTGCCCTTTTTCTATCAGTTGCAATGATCCTATTGGTAATCTATGTATCCTGGAAGCGCTATCCCAGCAGCGTGAAGCAGCTGCAGGAGCACACAGCAGCAGCACGCAAACGTCGCAAGAAACCGAGAGAGACAGAGCGCACCCTGAGCTCTCCCCTGCAGGAGTACTATGTGGACTACAAGCCTACCAATTCCGAGGCCATGGATGTGCTAGTGAATGGGACTGGACCATGTACCTATACCATCTCAGGCTCTCGAGAATGTGAGGTAAGATCCACACCACCACCACTCATCCTTATAAAAAAAAAAAACATTCCCACCTTTGATATTGTCAGTGTTTGGTTTCATATATCTATTACTTGTCTACCTACAGAGCAGGCTGGATAAACACTGTGTATTCCCTGATTATGAACAATGCAGAGATGATTTTGGCTTTTGTGTAAAAATGTGCATCACTTATCTAAAGGCTCTTTGTTTGTCCGTTCACTTTAATCTCCCTATAGATTTGTTTTACCGCATACAGAAATAGAGCTAAATATAAATTATCATATGTCTTGCTCTTTCTAACCGAGAGATTAGGCATTAGTGTGATATGACATACTTCCCCAGGTAGCTTTTTGTCTTTGATTTCCCACTCGCCACAAACTTTGGACGGCGTATGTGTGCTCTGCTGCAATTCAGTTTTTGTCTGGCAGTTTCGTGTGAGGAGAATAGCTCAATGGTTGGAGGATTCCCTTTCGGACACTGGACTTGAATGCTAATAGAAACTTTGTCACTGAATGGAGCTTGCTCTGAGCAAATGACTTCCCACTTTTCTTGACACAGCTGTGACTCAAGGTAGTTGTTGGGAAATCGTCCGACAACAGCATTGCCTTTATGTTTTGCCTTCTGCCTTTTCATACCTATCTAAATGAAGACACTCACTTGTTTATTCACTTGCCTATTCGATTCACATATAAGCTAAACTGAATACTTTTACTGGGCTCCTGCAATTGATTTCACTTAGGAATAGATTTAGAAGACAAAAAAAGGCACTTGTAGACAGAAACACAGAACACATCTTTAGTGGTCCCAAAAGGTGTGAAAATTCTTTGAAATGTTTTATACACCGGCAAGATATTTCTTTCAAAACAGTATTTATACACTGCCTCTGTACGGGAATACCTCCTTTTCTTCTCAGGCTTACTCTTCTTAGTCTCTGGTGTATCTGACATACTGTAAAAATGTTAGCTAAACCTTTTATTCTCTTGCAGTTACCCCAGACTTTCTAAGCTATAAACAGTATCAATTGAGGACTCGTGAAATTCCTAATTCATAATGCTAACCCTGGTTTAATTATTTTTTTTGTTCTTCGGATGCATTTTGAGGTTTTACAGCCAGGAGAGCAAATGTTTCTTTTGCCAAGAATTGGGGTTCTTGAAAGACTAGTCATGTTACAAATGAAATACTTACAGGTAGCTGTAACTGGTCTGATTACAAAAAACAAAACACAAGTCACACCAGACATTTTGCGGCTGTTTGCTGTGCTGTCCATTTTTCTACTTTATTATCAGTTGTAGTTGATCATTTTCAGTCATTTTTAGTACATAGTACATAGGTTTTGCTTTACTTTGCCTTACACAATACCTCAGTTAGGACATCTTTTTGATGCTTCGAACAATGAAATCCAATGCACTTCTGAATGAAAACAAAGACACAGGCAAAATCTTATCCAAAAAATAGGAAGGTGCCAAATCTAAAATTAGGCAATATATACTGTTTATTTAAAAAAGGAATCCATCTTTGATGCTTTCACAGATGCTTTATGCTGCAAGCAGCAATACATACTGAAATGTGTAAAATAACCTCTCCATTTGATCCTGACCTCAAACATCTTTGTCAATCAGATCTTCCCCATGTTTTCCTTCCTAGTCTTCTTTTGTAGTTCAAACAATGATTCGTGGTAATAAATACGTGTGTGTTATGATGAGGTGACCCAACACATTACATGCTGTTGTATTTGCTTCAGCCGGCATACACACTGCTTGGTCCATAAGCAGATCAGATGAAAATGTGCAATGCTTATTGAGAATTATACAAAAGACTGATTTAAACCTGACTTTGACATAGTCTTTACATATAGTCTGAGCTGATGAGAGATATAGTGTAAAGTGTAAAGAACCGAATATACAGCCAATAGTATCTCCAAAAGGTCACGTAAGGGTAACCGTTTCCACATCCTGCCATAGCATAAATAAAAGAGGAAACAACTAAAGCTTTCCGGAGGCTTATCAGAAGGATGGGATGAGTTGTATACCGAAAATGTGTTCATGTTCTTGTCACTCCCCCGTATAATTCAAGCAATTTACAAGTTAATTTGCAAATTACACACAAGGGACATAAGCCTAAAGAACAATCTGATCAGTAGGGAATGGAGGAGGGTTTTTTTGCAGTCATGCTGATCTTTGAAGTAATCAATCACTTAATTATTATTGACCTTTGCACTGGTTATTGAGTAGATTGCGCTGGTCATCCACTTTAGCTGTTTCTTTTTACTAGCCAACATGATCCAGTTGTCTCATGAGTTATGCTTTTCGTCCATTGTTGGGACTCCCGCATTTCGAGTCAGACAAAATGCTATCACTGTTTATCAGAAATGTGTTAATGTCAATGGTGCGAGGCAAACAAAGGAACCTTGTTACAACAACAACGCCGAGGAGGCGATGACACGGTAACACTGGATGAAGGCAGGGAAGAGGAATCTTTTGGTTACCTTCCAGTCTGTCACAATAGAGATAAAAATGCTGGATTTTATTCTTAACACCCATTTCATTCCTGATACCCGGTGCCAGTTGGATTGACTATTATCTGAAGCCTGTAGCAGCATCTTGGAAGGCACTACAAGTGACATCTCTGAGAGGTATCTTCCGCCTCCACTTTATAAAAGCTCCTGTGAAAAAATCCTCATAGGATCTCTTTTTGTAAGTTGAAAGAAAACCTATCCTTACAACTAAAATCACTGCAGCCTATTATGGGGACTCGATAGAACTTGGCTGTTGTGCTGACACCTCTTTGCATACAGTCAACCAAATGAAATAGGAACGAACCCAACCTAATAAGAGCAAGGGCCAAATCCACATTACAGGTCCAGCAGAAAGTCCCAGCTCAGGGAATAACTTTTTGCGCATATTTTTACTTCATTAGTGGGTATGGCCTCGGAAAGGCTGATCTTAGACATTTCCTACACACTCTGTGAATAAGCTTTATATAGGAGGGGGAAGTAGGCATTCAGTTACGTGATGCAATCTGTGGATTAATTAAATGTGCCTTAAGCTTTCACTCGGTATTTCATATCTATTTTGTTTTTCTTGGTTTTTTTCCTGGTATTTTTTTTTTCTTTTTTTTTACATTCTACAGAACACATCCCGCCATGCCTTATCTGCCCTTGTGCCTCATTTTAAAACTGTGTTGCGGGGGATAGGAGCTATCAGTCAGCAGTCCAGAAAAGTCCCGAGTTCATCGCAGACGGCGCTCCGATCTTGTTTCTACATTTTGTTGCTTTCTCGTGGGCATAAATCACCTGACAGAATGCAGCAGGTACTGCTGCATTCTGCACACCTCCCAATCTCACTTCCTCCACTCATGCTCGAGGACACGGCGGCTCCAGTCCGCACACAGCCCGAGCTGGAATTGCTCATTCCTCATGTGTCACTCTTATCATTTCTTTCATTTGGATTCTTTATTGTATGGAGCGACCTCTTCACATGATTGTCCTTTATGATCTTTCAAGTCCACTTGACATAAGCCGGGAGTTTGGAAATCTTCACAGTGGACTGCACGGGGACGGTGCAATCAGCATTTCTCATGTCATGTCATTTAAACCAACCCCAGAGAGTACATTTTATTTTCTTGTCACTTCAATATGATTTTTTCCTTTGATCTGCTCAATTCTAGCTTTTCTCCAGACATGTGCTGAGGACCAACTGATTTTTGTGGCTGATCCTACCTTTTCATCTGTCAGGATATCGTCCCGTAGCCTGGCAACAGTACACAGTTACATATGTAATCTCTTTCCACCTTTAAATCATTGCTCCTTTTCACTCTATAAAATATCTCATAAGCTTGCAAAACTATTGTTGTTCATTAGCATCCATCAACTTGTCTGATCTGATTTGAGGGTATTGGCGGTCTCAATTCAAAAGATTTACACAGACTTCAATTTTTTTTACGGAGGACACAAAATTACTTAAATTCTCTTCTTTGCTATTGATTTTGATTCAACGCCAAGCCCACTTTGTCAGCTTAATTTAAGCCTTACTTTGCTTAGCTGGGTCTGAGACATTTTTTTTTTCTCTTTGCCAACAAGATTACCCTTTTGGCTTTACGTCATCATTTCCTCTGATATGCATTCCAAACCATAATCAGGTACCTATAGTGTCAACTTTATTTGGTAGACTAAGCTCACGGCAAAGCTTTTTAATTGTTTCATGACACATTCTTATAAGTTACACAGGGTAATCTTTTGATGTTGCTCACTATTGTGAATAAGAAGCCATTTTTTGGTCAAACCAGATTGATGTCTTATTTGACTTTTACTGCATTTTGTCTTTGCATTAGTAAATGTCCTGATATTAACCCTTTTCACACGTCCCTTTTAACCCGGGATCGATGTGCTTTTGTTGTATATCTGCGTAATGCTAAAAAGGCATGAGGAATCCCAGCGGATCTGGCGCTGATTCACCTCTGAGCAAGAAAAAAGAAGGTGAAGCCGGGGTGAAATGGGTCGTGTGTAAGGGCAAGTTAAAATAGAGGAAAGAGGAAAACACCACTCTGACCAGCAGCCCTGTCGTCGGTCGGCTGATTCTGTGAGACCGGCCTGATGCGTGTGAGTGTACAGTGATGCAGGACTGAGCAGCCACTTGTCTCTGCGATTTACCAAAGAGGGACAGAAGTGGGTCACCGAGAACATCCTTTTTTTTCAGCGTATAAGCTTATTGAAGCTTTTAAGTTGATTGCAAAAAAAAAAGGTGTTTTTTGGTATTCAAAACTTTATATAATTACATTCAGTACATTCCATTTTCTTTGGAAGCTACTTAAATCATTCTCCTTGTACTCGGGAATGTGGACCATATTTAAGAACAAATTAAATCAAGCTCACCAACTTCTGTGTGTGGGCATTTTTAAGGGCTTTGGAACAACCCTTTGACAAGAGAGGAAATATTTTATGACACAAGAGGGAAAATAAGCAAAAATATAGAAACTGCTTCAAGGAGAATTTAACATCACGG